CACGTATCAAAGGAACATTCACTTATCACACAATCTCAAGAGTTATCGCGAACCATTCTTTTGGAACATTCTGCAACAAAGTGTGCATGTGTGAGGGAGAGAGAGAGAGAGCTAGAGAGCAGATAAGATGTTGCCCCTAATGCATTGACGGGCTGGGGTCCGCATTAATTTGACATTGACTTGCAATTCACTCTCAGTTCTCTCACAGCATGGATGAACAGTATTAGGGAAGGAGATTAAAAGAGAGAATTGTACTTGTTTTGGGTGAGCCAGCACGAATAAGGTTGGTAAATGGAGAACCGAATTACTTGTTTGGTCTCTGGGCGATTGTGACGATGTAGATGGTGGGGTTTCATTTGGGGTGTTGTGGGTGGATGGGAAGGGTTGCTGGCTCCGAGTGTTGATTTGGTCCTCGTTTCTTGATTACATGTGAATAATGGACTCTGCATTATGCACATTTCGTCAATGAAATACATGTCACGGCATGAAATCAAATGATAGGTTTCTTCTTACCATGGTCAAATATACGTATCTCTCATATTTTCCTCGCCCTCCTGTGCTCATCGGTCCCCAAAATGATAAGACAATTTCCTATTTTTCATCACTGCCCAAAGTGACAATCCCTTGGATGCCTTCAGGACATTAATTACTTCGACGGACTGTAGGAGTAGTACTCATATGTAAGTAAAACTTGTAATAGAAGGAAAAATATCATGCTAATGGACACTTGGCAATAAATTGACCAACAATGATCGAAAAGTAATAAATTGCATATGTGTACTTGGGATAAACATTATATTCAAAGTTTGTCATTAATAAATATTTTGAAAGTGAGCTACGGAAAACATTCTCAAGTTAACGGCATGTGTTGTTAATTGGATTTTGTGGAGGATGACGAGTGTGTGGAGGAAATCGGAATTTGAGACAAACCACCACCACCCTTGGTTTAAGAGAATAAAAGAGAGAGAGAAAGAGATGAAGAGGTTTTCGGGTGTGAAGGTGGTTGTTTTACTAAGAAGGCGAAGAAGTAGTTTGTGAGAGGGCAGTCTGGCTGGGAGTTGGGTGGACAGGGAGATTGTTGGAGATGGAAAAGTTATAATTTCATTTCATAACGCTGGGTCTGGCTCTTCTATGCCTATCGATATGATTCATGTCATGTATCGCACTAATATGCGGAGTGAAAGATGCCGGTGGAGAAATCGATCAGATTTGCTCCCTTTCCCTCCTCACCGCCATCCATCCAGCCAGCCAACCTCGACTTCTTCTTCTTTATCTGACACAAAGTTAGAAATTTCGGAAAATGTTGGACTTGATTTCACTTGAATCTCTCCCATCCACTCGTGGATTTCGACTGCTTGGAAACAAGAAGCAATGACGATGATGGTCATACTAGAGTGTTTGATGGTGCCGTGTTACTACCACTGCTGGCGATCGAGTTTTCACCATTCTGCCACAACCACCATGCACTTCTCTACATATATACATACACTCAGCCTCTCTCTCTCTGATGATGATAATGCCTACTTCATATGGCCTTGTTAGTCAGTTAGTTGGTTGGTTGTTTGGACTTCTTCTTCTTCTCATTCTTTATTTGAAGTGGACATGAGCGCAGGTCATGCATGAATGACGATGAAGAATGTTGAGAACTAAGTAAAAGCGAGCTAACGACGACGCGTGGGGGGAAAAACGCTTCCTCAGTTTTTAAATTGGAGGACATTTACATCATGAGCCGAATGGAGTCTCTCTCTCTCGCTCTCCAAATCAAACCCATCCAATTTGGAGTTGACAATTTTCTTAGCAGACGGAAACCATTAAGCTGGTAAAGTTGGGCGAAATCTGTACAGGTGAAGAAATGTATCTTCTTTCCGTATCGATTTTGTAGTTTTTGATTTAACTTGCTTGATGAGGAGGATGACCATAGAATTCTCCTCTCACTCTCTACTTTTCTTCACTTACTATTCCCACTTGGCTTACTCATTACTGCTGTGCTGGAGAGCTGCCTGGTGGCGAGTGAGGATTGAGTATTGACCCATTTGAGCCATTTCAACTTATCTCAGTCCAGTCCACTCAACAACTAATCAACTTCTTCTTGAGAATCTGGATCGTAATTCTGCATCCAGGCTGCTTGGACACTCTCAAGAGGGAAAATCAACATCTAAATCAAAGGAAAGTCAAAATAATAAATCTAAATGTCAAACGGCTCCATGGACGACAAAACGACAACACTGAAATGATTTTCTGTCTAGTCCTATAGAGAAAAAAATAAGGACACAATTGGAATCTCGATCGTTTTTACCACTTCTTTAACAATCTTCTTCTCAACTTGTGTGTTTTTTGATAAAAAAAATTGCGCATGTGATAAAATCTAATTGTATTTGAACAAAGACGTACTTTTTCATAGAATACATATGCATGCACCGACGTAATAAAGGGTTGAAAAGAGAAAACATTCCAACCCACTGGTTAAAATTGTCTCTGTGTTCCCTCCTTGAAAACTAATTACAAGAGGCGAACATAGTTCACTCCATTTAAGAGCAACGTATATAATATGCACACCTGTCCCACAGTTTGATGCGTTTATCTCTTGTTTTACCCCTCTTATTCTCCTTGTTGTTCTTGCCTGGACATATATGAGCTCATACAGTTGCCATTAAACTAACAGAAAGTAAACTGTGGAATCCATTAAAAGCAACTTGTAAAAAATCCATATAATTCATACCAAGTTTATACATCACATTCATACGTTTTAGGCCGAGCATTTTATTTTACAACCACTTTATTTTCATTGAGCATACATGTCGTCCTCCCATCCACCACCATGAACCACCAGCAGAATGTGTGGCGTTGGGAGAAAGGTGTGAGCAAATGATGTTTTTGCACTGAAACATGTTTGAAATTTACATTTGGACATTTATTGGTTTATCGGTGGTGGTGGTGGTGTTGGTTTAATGTTGTTTGCATTTCTCCTCTTCAAATTGAACTCGTGCCCATTAATTTATAACTGGATTTCATTTCTTCAACATTCAAACGCGCTTTTTATTTTGCTTTCCAACACTTTCTCCTTTTATTACTACCACCATGCACCTAAACCAGCATAATGCCGGCCAGGCCAAAATACAACGTAAACTGAAACATTATGTGAGATATGAGACTGCCACAGCTTGTCAGGGTTCCTTCACACACGACGCATCAATTTTTCCGACTCGAATGAGCAACAGTTCCACCAATTTTCCCCGGACAAACACAGCGAGTTGCAATTATTGGAAAACACGGCAATTTTTCTGGGGGCGATGAAAAGCATGAGACGACTTTATGTTTATTGTGGAGCATGTGGACGACCCGGATGGCTTATCACTTCAATTTATTTTACCACTTGTCTCTGTGTAATTTCTCTTGTTTGATTTCCTCATCTAGAGCAGGCAAGGAAAAGAAGGAATGGTGCATTTGCACCCAACTTGGAACGAACCGTGTTGTGTGTGTTGACTGCGAGGTTATGATGGCAAAAGAGGTTTTATTTTATGATTTTATGGCGTGCTATTCCATCTTGTGCACTGTCCACTTGGAGAACGTGTCCTCGCACCACAGCCAATTTAGAATTTACAATCTACAATAGAATATAAACGCATGGCTGTAATCTATGAGTTATCGAGGAGAACAAATACACAGGAGAGAGAGAAATGGAAAGCAGCAAATGAGAGCAAACATGTTTTATCCTCGTGTTTTAAATTGCACCATCATCCAACTTTCCACCACCATCAGCAAGCAAGTACATTGCAAGTACTTTACTGTACATAAGCTAAGCCTGCTGCTGCAATGAGGAGTGAGCCATCTCCTTGCTCGCCAACTTTATAAAGAAAGCAAAGTGCTGTCAAATATTCGACGGGACATTATTCAACTCTTAAAGAATATGAGTGATTGGATGGGTGAACAAAGCAACGTGGACTTTACAGTTTTTAGTGGACATTTGGTGGACACTTTCATTTATTATTCAAAGAAAGTTTGCTTCTCAAATTCAATGCCTACTCGTACTGGACTGGACCCACTTGACATTCCCAAGATTTGCAAAGAGTCGTCACACACCGAGTTAGACTGACGTGCATAAGATGGATTTGAAAAATGATTGTGTTCGATTCTTGCGTAATCAAAATTAAAAAATCGATCCCATCCATCTAAGTCGGTCATAAATGGAAATTTGGAACCCGGTCTAAACCTACCTATAGAAAAGGCTGGCTTAAAGTTGTGCCATGGTTTAGAAAATGTAGAGTGCATAAGTTGACTAAGAGATTCATTTCGTTATCCTGGTGTAAGATTTGTCTGTAAATTTGTAGATTTCTGCTCAAAAGAACGATAAGAGAGGAAACGAGAGTGGAAACATTTTTCTTCCGTTTTTCAGACTTTCTCCTCCGTCTCACCAGAATAAGCCGAGAACACGTTGCCGGCACACTTAACACTACTTTTTGCACAGTTGTTGTTGTGTACGAGGGAGGAAAGTGCATGAATGAGTATGTATTAGCAGCCCATATCCCGTCGTCCTTGCCCATTTTCTTCTGGTTTGAGACGACTTTGTGCAGTTGTAATATGCGTGTTACTTTGTTATACGTTTAACTTACTATGAAGCCATTTAGTTTAAGACAGCAATTCACAACTCACTATCATCCCATCAACAATGAGACGGCGTAATGTGATGCAATGCAAGGAAGCAAGTTAAGTGAGCGACTTTAGTCCACATACGAATGTACACACATAAGAGTGGCCAAGTTGTAATAAGAGAAAACAAGATATTACGTTTTCTTGGTCCCGCATTTAAGCTGAATTCTAGATTTGGAGACAAAAGTACGAAAAACGGGGAAAGTTTCAGTTTTTACTCCATTCCCATCAATTCCACTTTGTTCCACTAAATTTAATGGAAGTAGTCTACGGTAACTTCATAACAATGCATAGCAATACGACTGACTACAGTAAAATGGAAGAAAGTTAAGTGAGCGACTTTTTTGAACAAATTAATTCAAGCTAGTAATCTTTTATTAGATTCAAAATTAAGAAAATACGAGAAGTAAAAACAAAAAAGCCAGAAAATTAATATTTGGATGCTTTCAGGACCTGGCTGTGCAAAAAAATTGGGTAGCCGCTGCATTTAAACAATGCAGATAACGTTGGAATTTTTTCCGGAGAACAAAGAATGACAGGGAGTACTCCGAGGAGTCCCCAGAAAATTGCCTGCTTGATCTGCTTCTCGCTGCACAATGAGAGATGAAGCCATTCCATGTGTTGGTTTAGCGGATCGAACTTCATCCCTTTCTTCCAAAACCGGCATTGGATGAAAGAATGAAGCTGTAAAAAAATATTAAGTTTACATTATAGAAATTAACTGAGAAATGATTATCATTACCAGTCGAAGACATTCCTCCATACGAGCCAGACGCCTGGATGGGAACTCTTTTACATCAATGACAATCCCAATACTTCCGGATTTAATTTGACGGCGAACTGCGTGAGACTCATATTTTGCCATTTCCTCTTTATTGTTAACACCTGTGTAGATTGGGATGGTGATGTCATTTCGCTTTTTGACCAGGATCTGTGTACAGATATCTTCAGCGGACGTGTCCGCACCAAATTCGCGAGCATCTGGAGTAATGACTGTGTAAACGTAGTGGTTAGGGTCGAATTTTTTCATCTCTTCTCGAAGTTGTTTAAGTCGTGATTCCACTTCCGTTTGTATGTCGACTTCATCGCTGAGTCGGGGGAGTTTCATTGGTGCATCATCCCCATGTCCTGGCTCTTTTTCCCAATCCATTGCACCATCTTCATCAGTCTCGTGAGTCTCGTCCTCTTCATCATTGACCTTTGTCATATCCACTAGCAACATCTTCGACCAATCCGGATGGACCAAAGCTTCACAGGACATGTCACATCCCTTTTCAAAGCACAATAACTGGACTCCTTTGAGGGCCTTTTGAATGTAAGGACGGATAAATTCATCTGTCAGATGAGCTAGGGCCTTGAGCTCCCTTCTTTTGTTCAAAAATTTGTATTGGGGAATCCCATGAAGTGGCTCATATTCAGCATCGATCAGGCACATCAACTGGAGTGTTAATAAAACATTAAAAAAAACGTTATTAGGTGAGGCGCAGTTTGAAATCGAGTTCTTAACGCCACCCTGCTCTAGCTCAAAATTATTCTATCCACATGAACAGATTGCGTTATGTATTCTTTCAATGCTACCGAAGCATTCTGAGGATGACGGGTAAAATAATCTGAGATATATTAACGCAGACGTTCAACGTTTGCAAATGGCAACCATCCATTTAAAATAAAACCTCTCTTCGACTTTTAATATCGACACGTCGTATTAGTTCTATGCACAAAACAGGCTACGCAATTTGCGGAATATTAGATTAGAAATGAATATGGTTTATGGTACGGACTCTCGTCTTTAAGATATCTATCGGAAATCTTGATTAGTGCGAAACGTTGAAATGATTTTAATTGATGGAATTACTATTTAGTTACATTAAGATTGTAGTTGATTGTTCATGTTTTTACTAGTACACAAATGAAAACAAGCCTCATCTTTTTTGCATCAATTTTGCATCACCGTAAGCTCTGCTTCAGGATGTGTTATAATTTTGTTATGACGGACATATAAAAATAAATAAGTACTTACAATCATGAGAGCTTCTTGCTCTCGCATTTTCGTCTCCTTGTCCAACCAATTACCCAGAAAGTTTTTTCGTTCCAAGCACGCAATCTGCATGCGCAGTTGGGCGGCCCTCCCAAGCGGGGACATATCAGGCCAAGTTCTATGACGGCTGCTAATATCTGGAGATCCTCCAGTGTCAGAACCCCAATATGGATTAAATGATTCAGGGTTGTCCTTAATGAAATCCCCAACGTCCTGGCTGGAGTTGAAGTTAGTTCCTAGGGAGCCGGCCAAGTATACTCCGTATTTGTGATCGTTGGTTTTTTGGACCATGTAGTTCATGTGCCCGAGAACCCACTTGTATAGCCACTCCAATTCTGGACGGAAGTTGGGATCATCTAGGCTCTTGTGATGCTCTTCTCGAATGGCAAATCCATTAGTAAACTTCAACGGGTTCTTACGTTGCATTATTGACAAACTGAAGGAAAATCAGAGGTAGCTAATAATACATGTCCTTGAGGAAATTGAGAATAAAATGCACAAATACCTCATTTCCGAAAGAGGAGGAAAACGAGTATGAAATCTGATTTTGTGGAAATGAATACCATTCGACGTGGTGAATGTCTTCCCACAATCACCGCATTCGAATATTTCATCCTGATTCAGTTCGTAAACTGGCCTGGGAACTCTGTAGAATTAATTAATTAAACTTTAGTCCCAAACGCAGGTCACAAAGAATACCTACTAACCTTGAGTGACGCGACTTAAATTTGTCATCGATACCACATTTCTTAATATGATCATCGAGCTTCTCTTTGTTACATAAGAGGCGGCCACAACTGGGATTGGGGCATTGAAATTTTTTCCTCCCTTCCGTACTTAAACTATTTGAAAGATATTAATTCTGGTGTAATTATGTAGGCCTTAATATAGAATTCTTATTTTTACCTGTCATTTTCTTTCACAACATGGGTTCGTTCGTGATTTGTCCGCTCAATAGAAGTACGAAATACTTGACCACACGAAGCGTCACCACAGGGATAGGTATTTCGTCCCGTCGCCGGATCCGGGATCGGCAGCCTTAATTTTGAATAATTATTTAAAGTTTTTTATGAAATTTATATGGTATATTACTAGATATGCGTATTCGACCTGCGAGTTGGGCAAGTGTTTGGCAATATGTCTCCATTCAGAATTAGGCGCTCTCGAGTTTGTAGGTGCCGATTCAAATGGTAAGGACTCCCAAACGATTTAAAACAAAACTGGCACTCATTTTGATTTATCCTAAAATATAAAATTAAGAAACCATAAAAAAATAGAATACAGCCAGTTGCCAGGAAAATAAAAGGCTTTCTTACCCCACATTTCCAGAACATCCTAGCATTGTTGGTTGAGAAGTTGGGGCTGGTGATTCTTTTCCTCCAAGGGACGATAATTGTTGAGTCTTATCGACAATGGACGGGTCAATCATTGAAGTTGATTCCCCAACTACAGTTGACAATTCGGGTGCAAATCCTTTCACAGTACATTTCAATTTACGGACAGGTCTTCCACTCGACTTGGACTCCTCCCCTGCGGCGGAAGATGAGACTGGGCTTTCGCTCTTGACTCGGCTGATGGAAGATGTAGAGCTTTGGCTGTTGATGCGACTTCCTGATCTGGTCAATGGCTTTCTAGTCTCAACGATTTCGACTTGTGCAGTAGCCTTAGATGTCTCAGCGTTTGATCGCATTCTTCGACGTTTTTTATTATCTGGGGACGGCTGAGGAGCAGGAGAACAAGCTGCGAGATCCTCAATAATGGCTTGGGTCAATTTAGAAGGTGGAAGAGACACAATTTTTGCTTGTTTAGACCGAGATGGTTTGAATTGAAGACTAGTTTGAGAAGAAAATTGGACACCAGTTTCATTGTCTGAAGGTGCTTTGATCACCTTATCATTGCTCGGTTCCATAGCAGAAGCAGCCGCAATGTATCCTCCCAAAAGTGGAAATTCCCCTACTGGAGTTTTCGATCGGGCAGAGATACGTCGAACTCGAGCGGAGGATTTGTTGCTGAGTGCAGACGATTTTGGCAAAATAGTCTCCTCTGTTCTTACGACTCCTCGATAATTGTTTGATTCAGAACGGATGGGCGGGACATCGTTCTCGGTGTGAACCAGGTTTTTAAGGCTTCTGGTCTATTAAAAAGTATAATTACTCTCTTTTATTTTTGTTATGGAGAAAATATGAGACAAATGAGCGAAATATCATCCTCCACCCTTGAGTTGTGCGTTATGCAAATTCTCATCCTGTCTCATCCTGTCCCACCGCGGTGGGACACGATAAGACAGGAATTTACTCCAACCACGATTTCTCTCGATTTTCTCAGCATCGGGTATACGACATTAAGCATTGAGTCTCCAGCTTACAACTCCGCTTGACTTTTTACATTTCCAGTGTTTTATTTTTATTGCAACTTTGTTCCACTAAACAAATTTTTGGAAAAGTATTACAAAGTTTTGAAATAAAAAGACTCGAGTTTTTCACCAGTTGACGACAGCCAGCTCACATTTCGTCGCCAAGGATAGTGCACCCAGGACGAGGGGATGGGACGGCGTGGCTGGGTGGGTCGAGGTGGGATTTGCATTGCGTGGAATTAGTGGACGGTCCACCTTGAGTCGAGATAACTAAAAGTAAAAGTATCTCTAATGTTCTCCGTTTGAATGTCGTCGGCTTGGGAAATTTGTGAGTTGGAAATCGTGCAAGTACATTAGTCCAACTGCCCGACCGAGCAGACTTTAATCTCCCTAAACTCTTTTAAACTCTTAATCTATTTATTTCCCCTCGTTTCAGCCAAATTACACTTTAAATTTATCGTTTGAACCCGGAGTAGAAAGTCTTAAGGAAATTACGCGAAATGTTTTACAGGAGAATTTTAGACTCGGCATGGGTGCGGGTTGGTTCCATTTTTTTGAGGATAGAATCCTTGCTAATGTTCTCCATGTCATCCTCGTTGGTCTGCTCTATTCAATCGCGAACCAGAGTTTTGTTCAGCGTTGACAGTTTTTATCGACTATTTTATTATTGAATCGATTCAACATTCGATTCAACATTCTGAATTCGAATCGTTTCTAATGTTTGCTGGACATTTATAGATTGAAGTCCGAGTTTGGTGGGAAGAGTGACATGAGAAATGGGCAAGTGTTAGTAAATTCAGAACGATTTGCTGAAAAATGCAGCAGGGAACATAAAAAAATGACTTACGTCCTCATATTCATAAGTAGTTTTTTAACTCACTATTCAGCATTTCTTTTTTACAACACGGCTAAAATTCTAAAATCACGAAAATTTCACATGCATTTGGACTCTGGATGTAATTTTCTCCCTGAAAATCACACGATCCATTCCCCTCTGCGCAACCCTGGGAGTCAGACCGGTGAGTTAGATTTGGAATTTGGATTCAAGTTCGGAGGAAACGATCCATCATTTGCTCCGAACGGACTTTACAACGTCAAATTTACTCACTTTCTTGTGACTTGACTTTTTGGCTAATCTATTCATATCTTGTCCTTCGCCCGAGTCCAGCGACTTTCTCCACAACCGAATAGTTGATGGCGCTGGCTAGTCAAATGCCCAGAGTTGACTTCGCAGGACAGCAGCACTTCAACTGTCAACAACAACCCTCACACATTTCTCCGTCCCGTTCGACAAATTCTCTCAATTTTCCCGTACTAAAAAAACAATTATTCCGATCCAGCAGCCAATGCTATACATATTTGCATACCAAATAACGTATTACACGCATATTACATATGTATATACTTACTTTTAGAGACGGACTAATATTATAAGTTTGGATAGAAAAATAAATTAATTCAATTTCTCGCTCAAATCTGTCAGAGTTTTCTTGGTTTCCTCCCCTGGCTGAAATTTACTTGTGTAAGGACAGATTGGGAGCAATGCGAAATTCACATGTATTTACTATTAGTCGATGCGTGAATTCAGTCATGTTGCAGATATTTAATAGATTTCTGGTTACATTGGTTTCGTACATGAATCGGAAATTGTATTTTCACTTTCTTGTTATTGTACGGCCTGTTTTCATGTTTTCGTCATGGGTATAGAAATGCAGAAGTATTTACTTGCAAACTACGTGCAGGACGTGATAAGAAAGTCTTGAAAATAAACATTTACATGCGTGGTAAGTAAGTACGTAAATAGGCATGAAACTGTGTTCATTAGTAAGTAGCGTACATACATATGTAATATGCAATAAATATTTCAATGATTTTAGGCGAAATGATGTTTTATTATGAAAACGGATTATTATTACGGAGGAAAATCCTCAAGTACAAATGTTGATTAAACATTGCATTCAAATTGAATCGTATGGACAGAAACAATATTCCGCAGCGAAATAAATAAGTACCAACTGCTGTTTACAATTGGTAATAAGAGCGATCCACATAATTAAGTGAGCTAAAATTTGGAATTGGATTATTAGATGAACAAACAGCTCTTCTGCTGCACCTCGCCACTTTAAACGACTTAATTGGGCTTGGTAATTGCCTAATTACAATGAAACGCAGAAATACGGAATATTTTTGCATGCAAATCAATCAGAAAACAATGAAATGAAATTGTTTTGTATTCAAATTTATTAATTACTTAATTCTAATTAAAAGTTGGAACAGATTTGTTAATGTGTAGAATGACGATGACATATCATTAGAAGAATCGATACATATGAATTATTTACGGTTTGCTGATAATTAAGTCCTCTCTGGAATTAATCCAACCATGCTCATTAAATATACTCAATGAACAAATGTGGCAAAAATAAAACAAAATTTTTTCACGTATATTGGAAACAAAATATGGAAATTGAAACACCTGCGTCTGCAGGAGCTTGCTTTCTGTACGCCGGGCAAAGTCAGCACCAATACGTTTTATTTTTCTCTCTTTAATCAGTATTAATTCACTGTTGTGAATTTAATTACCTGTTTGCACCGAGCCACCTGCTCTACAATTATGCTGGATAAGGTTGTTGGCTTCCTTTAGCTGCAAATGGTATACGTTTATGTATTTGATCTGCCCAGCTACAACTTATGGTAAGAAAGGGGCTAAATCCTTCTTAAAGAACGAAACATGTACCAAGCAACCAACTGTGTTTTATAATTTTGGAACTCTTTTTAACGGATTTTTTAATGACTGTTATTTATGTCGGAATTTTATTTCCGTAAAATCATGTGCATAATATGTAGATTTGGGTCTTATGCTGAAATTATATACATTGTGTGAGAAAGGGCGCAAGCAAATTTATAATTTACACTATTTAGAACTATATTTTCTCCTATTGCATGAGTCGGATTTTCATCATACAGCATTTCACATTTGCATTTTACACAATGTATATACATATATGTTGATCTGATTTTTAATCTGTGATGTCTCGGTCGGGCAATCATTTATTTTATTAGAGCTTTGTGATTGACCACAAAAATTGAAAAATTCGCATAAACGTCCTACAACCAATGTTTAATATTTATTGTAATGAATTTTTTTATTGACAAGTACACATAGTCAAGGAAATTGCGAATTTAACTTGATTAATTAAACTAAATAATTGACAACATTATATTCACGACAAGTTAATGGAACATTAGAATTTCTTGCATAATAAAGCAAAATGAAGTGACAATCACAGTAATAATCTACATAACGCACAATATGTGAACCCAGAGAGCTTTTTACTCACTTTTCTCCTTGTAAAACTTGGTTGACAATGGAATGTGATTGGGCAAGTTTTTGATTTTCCCATAGATGCACAGTGCCCATTATCCTGTTATTAAGTATTTCAGCTAATGACAAGGACCAGTGTAATTAATTACACATTCATCTCATTCCATTTGCATGGTCTCCCAAGTTTCAACTAATTATGTTATATTGAACAACGCTCTTTGAAGCGGGAGGGAATAATTTCTTGACAGTTTTTACACTTATGCATGCTACTACAGATCACGGGCGAATATTATGCACATCTTGAGAAGTATAGTTAACGTATGACTTAAGTAAAACTAAATGTGTACCGATAGAATTTATTTAGTTTTACAAGTAACAATCTAACATCATTTTCATTACGCTACATTAAAAACTTTAACAATTTCATGGCCACTTATTATGTTTTTACGCTTCTTTCTGTCAACATTAAAGAGTGAGAGGGCAATATTGGCATTCTTAGTTTTGTGTGGTGGCCCCCAGTTTGTAGTTGGAAGGGAGCTAAACACGGAGGAGGAGGAGAAAGCGCACAAGAAATTTTAGGAATCGGACAACAACAGAGTTATAAGGCGGGCGGGCGGACGCTGGCTTGGCGAGCAATTAAAAATGATGAATGTCCTTTTCCTGTCCAACTTCATGGAGAAATTTCTTACCTCTATTATGCTCCTCTAAGGTTGAGGGTAATTTATATTTTTGTGAGATTATATTATTATTGCAGGATAATGGAATGGCGAGTAAGAGGGCAAAAGTAATGTCAATGGACAGGGAGGTCTGGTCACTTATTATTTTATTAAACCGCCGCCCCTACCTTTTCCCACTCGAGTCCACCAAACCACAGATATACATACATACGAGTCGTATCGTGTCGTCGTCGCAGAGCATGCCAGAAACCTTGTACCTTCGTCATTACGACGGAAATTCATAGCAAAACCTCACAGAGCTTCCTTTTAAACGAAGAACGTATCCTATTACCGAGACTATTTTGTATCATGTACCGAGCGGCGACCTTTCATGAGAGAAATACGAAACTTGACATTAGCTATCATTTCTCAGTTTCAGGAAAAGCCACAAATATCTTTAATTGGACAAAAACTATGAAATTTTCTTCCTCCAAGGATGGATGAGAATCTGAAAGCCATTTACACAATTGCTGAAACCATCTTTGCTATTCAGTGTAACGACGTTTCTTACGACGTCTGCATATTAGCCAGTTGAAGACCTCATGCCATTTCACAATTTGCCTATATGCATGCATGGTTCCGTCGGTAGTTGGTCGGTGGGTTGCCTTTGCCTACTTCCCATGTCAATCCAACCACCAAGCGGTACATGACCTGCCTCAAGCCAAAAAACCAACAAACATGATCACTTTCTTTCCTCGCGGAGGACGACGACGAGAAGGGCAGCAAGAAATGGAAATACGAAACTTGGGAGGGAAAGCGGAGGGGAGTTGGCGAGGGAAAGGAGAAGAAGAACACGTTGCTAAGATAACTAAAAACATCCCTCTCGCCCTAAGACTGAGTGATGACTGTTCCATAAATAGGCCTCTCAGCCGCCTTCACGATTCATAACACTGCGTAGGTTTAGTTTAGTAACCTCCGTGTAGCAGAACCATGGTCAAATCTGCAAGGCGATCTAAATTAAATACACACTTTCACCCATCTCGCCATTTTCTAGGTAGGTTTAACTTTAAAGCTCAAATTTATATTACAACGGAACATGAAAACGATAACATCAACACAATGTCAAAACAAATGAAGCGCAGAACAAAACAAGATGAAGAAAGTTGTCTCTCATGAGGTTGCACTGTCTTAAAAAATACTTTTGTGCATTATCCACTCCGCTCAAAAATCGAAATCACTTCACACCACGTTTGCAACCTTGCTTACCTATTCAACCGGTAGAAAACGTGACACGCGTGGATAAGTAACCATCGTCTGTATATCTTTTATATCGGAAACTGTACGTCTAAAAGTACATCATCGCCCACAACCCTCCAAACCACTGTCAGTCACACTCAAGAGTCACTTTGGAGAAGATCAATCAGAAATCCGCTGCAACTTTTTTAATTTATTTATTTTTGCTGAATCATTTATACCGGGTTAAAATCGAAATTTAATTAAATGCATGGTATCAAAATTTTGGCTAAAATTATTCAGAATTCCATCGATTTCATTGCAATGTTCTCAAGTAATGGTCGATATTGCTAAAAGTCTCATGAATGGCTGAAAGGAATGCAATTCGCTTTTTGTGAGCAAATGGATTCAAGATATTTATGTGCTAAAGTGAGACAAAGTTCCTAAATACCACTTGCTGAAGCATTTTATTATATTTTCTAGCGAACTGCACGTTGATTGCCAACTAAACTACTACGACTCTGCGTACGTATAGGAAGAAGGGGGAAGGTTGTGCAATGGCAGGAGTGGATTAGATTGTAGATTTTTGTTTATATAGATAGGAAACATAAAATGTGGGAGGAGAGCTATAATGTACAATCTACAATTCATTTCACTTCGATTTTTATATTTGGTGATTGGACCGTCGATAAGTCCCACACTGCTCATAGATTTATATTTAAGGCCAATTTTGACCCAACTGCTTCACAGCACAATGAGGACAATTTCCTCGCAGCTCCTAGTAAAACATAGAATTGCTATCTTGACCAACATCTAAAAACTGTTTTCGCTTACTTATTTACTACTCCTGTTTACTTTACACAAAGTGCACCGGTTGGGAAGGGCTCTGGCATTTCCTTCGAATAAAGTAAAAATTTACAGAGGAAAGAAATCCGAAATCCACTAATGTGATTGTAACAGGCAATCCTATTTTTATTTTTATTTGATGATTTGATGTGATTAAAGCATTCTAGATTTTAATTTTTTTCCTCTTTTCGATGGGTTTTGAGCACTTAGTCATATACTTTTGCAACCCGGCGTCCTCGCGTCACGGACCGAGTCGTATGAAATTAATCATTAACTGTGCCACAAATATTTTCAAGAGATTGTATTCTGGCATAACTTTTTATCGGATGTAACAAAGTGGATGGATGGAGCCATTTGATAGCATGAGATTTTCATTTTATGCCGTTTTCCACTCTTTTCACCCCAAACAGCTAAATATAATAAAAAAAGTGCTGGATATACAAACACATGAAGAATGTTTATGAAATGAGCTCATGTATGGGAGCCAAGATTTAATACAAGGCGTAAATTTTCACATACATGGCAAAAAAGTACACAAGTAAAAAGTAGTAAAACGTGTGTAAAAAGGAGCCAACGTAAACTATAAAAGGGTGTTTAAGCTCAGAAACGATATGTAGAATCTCAACATTTATTCGCAGCCTAGAAAGTAATAAGTTACAACAGGGAAAAAAGTAGTTTTGTGTGCGAATTTCATAATAATAATCAAATTTGCTTCTTGTACTTCTTAACGAAATCTCCGATAATAACGCTAATGCTGAAGGATAATACTCGCTCTTCTTTCGGGCAATGCTTTCTCTCCAAACGGCACTGTGAAGTACATCTAGCGTTGCAAATTTCAAATTCCGAACGAATTTACTTTCTAAGTCTAAAACTTGGAATTTTAAGCTACTTTAATCTTCGCTAATTTGGAGAAAAATTTAAATTGCTGGAATATTAGTTTATACGTTTCTAACTATAAGAGGTTTTTTTATTTTAACCACTTATGATATGTCAAACAAATTATGAATTAAATAATTTAAA